CGAACCGTGGTCGACTATGTGGGAGTCCAGCGACATAGCCATTATGCTAACTGCTGGTCCTGAGCTGAAATGCTTCCTAGAAATTGAAGATCAGAGGAAGAGGAGTCAGATTGGAGTTGTAGAGCCATGGGGTGATCACTTAGAGTGAGTTATTCAAGAAGGGAGCCACCGAGGGGTGGGGTACTAGGCACGTCTGCTCAGAGGAGCTCTTACTTAAGCTTCCCAAGCCTGCGATGAGCCCTTGGTCCTGGCGACCTGGTCTCGCCCCCGAGGCTGTCTGAGTTGGAAGGCCTACACTTGGCTTTGGCCAGCACCTCGGATTCCCGTGCCAGTGGGGCCCTTGAGCACGGGTCTTCGGAGGGCGATGGGGTGTGGGTCTGCGTGCAGCTTTTTCCTAACCTGGGTCATTGGGGCTGCTTCTAGGAAACCCAGGTTCCGGGGTGCCTGACACTGTGGTTGTGGGTAATGTTGATCCTGTCCTGCAGTGGGAGGTGGCAGGAGTTGGCATTTTCCAGGCCATTTTCGTGCACAGGAGAGACGAAAGCACAGATGTATTACCTGACTTGTTTCCCACGATTACAGGAGCTGAATTTCCCAAGAGTTTCCAATCTCTCCGAGGTGTACGAGGTGCTGAGCAGGTAAGGACGCGCGTCTGGAGCTGCCGCTGGGAAACAGTGCCCTGCCTCACCCCTGCATGTTGCATCCTCCAGGCTCCATCCACGTCCCCCCACCCCTGCTTTGTGGCCACATGCCACGTGGAGTCCCTCCTCAGTTTCTCCCTCCTCTCCTTCGCTTCCCTCCTGGCTCCATTTCTAAGGAGAAAGTAGAAAGCCAGAGGCAGGAATGTCGGCCCCTTGTCGCGTCCACTCTGCAGTCACTGTCCACAGCTGGTCTGCGCCAGACCCACCCCAGGGGAAGGCCGCCCTCCCCACTGCTCCTGCCTGTCCCTCCCCATGCAGCAGCCTTCCCCCGCTGGCCCCCTACCTGGGGTCTCCAGCCTCTCCCTCTTGTTTCCTTCAGCACCAAGGCTTGTCCTAACTTATTTATTTTTTAAAGAATTGCTTATTTAATTGTATTTATAATTATTATTTTAATTTGACCGAAAAGAGAAAGGGAAAGTGAGAAAGCAAGTTGCAAGGTCTGGGACATGAACTGCTGTTGTCCATGTGAGAGTCCAGCGCTTTAATCACCACGTCACCTGCCAGACCCAGCTTGTCCTAACTTACAAACAGACACCAGTTTCACTCCCCCCTTTCTACCACCATATTGGTTGTTCTCTGCAATGAGCCTCGGTGGAGGCCTCATCTCAGCTCAGCCCTACGGCTGTTTCCTCCCCTTCCTGATGGGGGCGCCGGCCGGGCTGCACAGCACAGGCTGGGCTGTGGTCTTGGTTGACGCTGGCACGAGGTGATGCTCCGTGTGCACGTCTGCAGCTCGGAGCCCTCGGCCGCTCTCCCCTCGTCATGAGTTATCTCCTTTCCTGGATTTCTCTTACCATCAGGGAGGGGTAGGGGGCAGTTAACCCGTGGGGTTCTCGTTCCTCTGCCCTTTCTAAGGTAGGGCTCCTCCTGAGGCCCCCAGCCCTCTTCCCGCTCACCACTGCGTGCTGGGTGTCCTCGCCCATGCCCTGGGTGTCCACAAGCTCTCCAGCTCCTGCAGAAATGCAGCCCCAAGCTTGCGGCTGTGCAGCCCTTCCCTTGCCAGATTTGCCAGATGTCTTCCGGGCGTTCCACTCGCCTGGGCTGCAGGCCACTCTCCCCTTGACAGTCCTCTCCGTCCCTCAGCCTCACTCAGAGCTTGGACCACCCGCTAAGCCTGTGTGGCACCGGGTATGACACAGGTCTGTGTGTGAGAGAGAGCTGGGGGCAGGCGAGAGGGACATCCCATAGAGTGTTAGGGCGCAGGCTCTGACTCGCGCTTCCTGCCCCTGAAGCCCAGTCTCGCCCCACGTCCGACTTGTACATGACCTTGAGACGACTCGATCTCTGCGCGTTGGTGTCACGTCTGTGCAGTGAGGGCCCATGTCACCTCCAGGGTTGGTGGGAAGATTGCACGAGGTAGTACCTGGCAAGGTCTCGGGACAGTGCCTGCGCTTAGTCTGTGTCCCGCGAGTGTTAGCTGCCGCCATTGCTGGCTGCGGCTGGGTCATTGGGGCTGCTTCTAGGAAACCCAGGTTCCGGGGTGCCTGACACTGTGGTTGTGGGTAATGTTGATCCTGTCCTGCAGTGGGAGGTGGCAGGAGTTGGCATTTTCCAGGCCATTTTCGTGCACAGGAGAGACGAAAGCACAGATGTATTACCTGACTTGTTTCCCACGATTACAGGAGCTGAATTTCCCAAGAGTTTCCAATCTCTCCGAGGTGTACGAGGTGCTGAGCAGGTAAGGACGCGCGTCTGGAGCTGCCGCTGGGAAACAGTGCCCTGCCTCACCCCTGCATGTTGCATCCTCCAGGCTCCATCCACGTCCCCCCACCCCTGCTTTGTGGCCACATGCCACCTGGGGTCCCTCCTCAGTTTCTCCCTCCTCTCCTTCGCTTCCCTCCTGGCTCCATTTCTAAGGAGAAAGTAGAAAGCCAGAGGCAGGAATGTCGGCCCCTTGTCGCGTCCACTCTGCAGTCACTGTCCACAGCTGGTCTGCGCCAGACCCACCCCAGGGGAAGGCCGCCCTCCCCACTGCTCCTGCCTGTCCCTCCCCATGCAGCAGCCTTCCCCCGCTGGCCCCCTACCTGGGGTCTCCAGCCTCTCCCTCTTGTTTCCTTCAGCACCAAGGCTTGTCCTAACTTATTTATTTTTTAAAGAATTGCTTATTTAATTGTATTTATAATTATTATTTTAATTTGACCGAAAAGAGAAAGGGAAAGTGAGAAAGCAAGTTGCAAGGTCTGGGACATGAACTGCTGTTGTCCATGTGAGAGTCCAGCGCTTTAATCACCACGTCACCTGCCAGACCCAGCTTGTCCTAACTTACAAACAGACACCAGTTTCACTCCCCCCTTTCTACCACCATATTGGTTGTTCTCTGCAATGAGCCTCGGTGGAGGCCTCATCTCAGCTCAGCCCTACGGCTGTTTCCTCCCCTTCCTGATGGGGGCGCCGGCCGGGCTGCACAGCACAGGCTGGGCTGTGGTCTTGGTTGACGCTGGCACGAGGTGATGCTCCGTGTGCACGTCTGCAGCTCGGAGCCCTCGGCCGCTCTCCCCTCGTCATGAGTTATCTCCTTTCCTGGATTTCTCTTACCATCAGGGAGGGGTAGGGGGCAGTTAACCCGTGGGGTTCTCGTTCCTCTGCCCTTTCTAAGGTAGGGCTCCTCCTGAGGCCCCCAGCCCTCTTCCCGCTCACCACTGCGTGCTGGGTGTCCTCGCCCATGCCCTGGGTGTCCACAAGCTCTCCAGCTCCTGCAGAAATGCAGCCCCAAGCTTGCGGCTGTGCAGCCCTTCCCTTGCCAGATTTGCCAGATGTCTTCCGGGCGTTCCACTCGCCTGGGCTGCAGGCCACTCTCCCCTTGACAGTCCTCTCCGTCCCTCAGCCTCACTCAGAGCTTGGACCACCCGCTAAGCCTGTGTGGCACCGGGTATGACACAGGTCTGTGTGTGAGAGAGAGCTGGGGGCAGGCGAGAGGGACATCCCATAGAGTGTTAGGGCGCAGGCTCTGACTCGCGCTTCCTGCCCCTGAAGCCCAGTCTCGCCCCACGTCCGACTTGTACATGACCTTGAGACGACTCGATCTCTGCGCGTTGGTGTCACGTCTGTGCAGTGAGGGCCCATGTCACCTCCAGGGTTGGTGGGAAGATTGCACGAGGTAGTACCTGGCAAGGTCTCGGGACAGTGCCTGCGCTTAGTCTGTGTCCCGCGAGTGTTAGCTGCCGCCATTGCTGGCTGCCGTCCTGTCTCAGCTGCCTGCGGCCTGGGCGGGAGCCAACGCCTGCTGCACAGAGGGTGCGAGGGCTCGGGGAGGCTCGGCGCGGGGGTCCTGAAGGGTTTTGCTGGAAAGCGAGGTGAAGGTTTCCTGACTGTCGATGCGGTCACATCACCACAGGCGGGTCCCAGGGCTGAGTCGCCCACGTCTACCTGGGGCATCCCATCCTGTGGCTTTTCCTCCATCCACCCTTTCACAGTCACCCCCTCTGCACCCTCAGGCTGTTGCCTCTGCAGACCTTGCCTCCCACAGCCTCCTGGCCCAGGGCCTGGCCCGCCGCACCTCCTCCTCTGCCACCAGAGCGGTCTTTGGGCCGCGAGGCTGACAGGGCATCTCTGTGGTCAGGGCCTCCATGTGCCTGAGCCCTGTGTGGTAGGAGCACCTCCATGTCTCCCCCTTGCTCTCTGCCGACATGCCTGACGTCACCTGTCCGGTCTGTTCTCAGGGTACAGGACTGTTCTTGAGTACCGCCTCCTCCAGGAGGTTACTTTCCTGGGGCTGAGCCTGAAGGGGCCGGGAGTGCAGTTCTGGGGTCTCTGGTGTGGTGTTTATAGGACGTGAGCACAGTCACCTCTGCTTGTCACTTGCTGCTAGATGACAAAGGCCGACAGCGTCTCGTGTTGCGTGTCCGGGCGCCTGGGCTCAGTGAAGCGTCTCATATAGGCTTGGAGTGGTCGGTGGGGCCTTTTGCACACCGTGCTCTGTCGTAGGGCCTGGCTGCCGGGCTCCAGGGTCTGTGCCTTCTGCAGAAACGTGTCCTGGTCACACACCTGCATTTATGTTAACAAGGGCGTGTTCTCAGCTGGCTGTTCTTTGCTCTGTTTTCCTTCTGTAACAGTGACTTGAACCCCACTAAGAATTCGGGACCTGTGATTGTTCACTCCAGCAAGTGTGAGAAATATGGTGAGTCCCACCGGGCCGGGCTCTGCGCCCACCTTGCCTGCGTCCTCCCCGCGTGGAGCCTGACTGTCAGGAAGCTCTGCGCTCTCTGCTCCCCCTGCCTGGGGAGGACATGGCGCAGTGGTTTGGGGGCAGGGAGAAGCACACAGGGCAGCAGTGGTGGCACGTGAACCAGGGCAGGAGGGACTCCCTTTCCCGGGCTGTGCCCTCAACGGCCGCCCCATCCTCTTTCTCCTGCTTATGGGAAACCACGGCAGTCGCGACCAAGTACCCCCACGAAGCGGCGTACGATGCCTTCCTCTGTGGATCAGGTAGGAGCTGCCATTCCTCGGCCCAGGCCATCCGAAGTCCTCTGTCTCACGCTGGGTTGCCCAGGAAGAGGACAGAGCTGTGTTAGACGCGGATCGCGGTCTCACACTCCAGCTTTCTCTTCCAGTTCTTCTGAAGGTGGCGCACTTGCTCCTCTGGAGGGTGCACGGGTGAGTGCTGTCCCTTCCACCAGCTGTTCTGTCGGCCAGGACCTCCCTAGTACAGGCTCGGCCTCACCCTAAGGACAGGGTACAGAATGTCCCTGGCCCCGCTCTGGGCGCTGGGGGAGTCCATGTGTGTCCGGAGGCCAAGGCAGTGGGTGTGGTTTAGGCCCGGTATCTGCTTCAGCCTCTCCCCAGGGAGCGCGTGCTCTGCTGTCACCTATCTGTGTTATTCCAATGACCGCGTGACTGCCCGGGAGGTGGTAGAGGAGGTGCCAGACCAACGCGTGGGGGTTCTCATAGGGTGGAATAAGGCACCCTGAGGAGAGGCTCATGAGACCCCACGTCGGAACCCGCCTGCCTCCCCTGGGGCCGCAGCATCCCATCACCTGCAGCACAGGCACCGAACCCCACCACCTGTTCGAGGCGCGCATCCCCAGGCACCGCCCTCAGTGTCGCTTGCTGAGCAGGGGAAGGAGAGTCGAGGCATTCTTAGGACTGGGCGTGTGTCCTTTGGGGCCGAGCTGCATTTGGGGCCATGCTCTTACCTGGGCACTGCCCGTGTCTGCCGTTGGGGCAGTGGCTCCTACCAATGCAAACGTCTGACACTGGTGGGAGGCTGGTGACCCTAGTGCAACCTGTGCCAGCCCGTGTCCCGTCCTGTGGGTCATCCGTGTCCACAGGAGGTACAGGAGAGCTGGACAGTGAAGGAGCCCACGGTAGGGAGCCCCTGCTTGCCCTGGGCCCCTGGGCCTCGCGGCCTTCATTTCTTGTACTCCTCAAGAATAGACCCCGCTTGGTTTAGAAAAGGCCCGTAGCTGCCAGGCCCCAACTCCATGGCCTCACAGCCCCAGCTTTTTCTGCACTTGGGTGTGATGGCGCCTGGACAGAGGTATGAGGAGGGCCGCTTCGAATCAAGTGGGTGGCTGTCAGGGATGAGAGCGTGGCGCTTCCTCTGAGCCGTGGCCTCTTACCAGAGCTCTGACCCACTGCCAGTGTTGTCAGCAGAGAGAGCGTCACCAGACTGTCACCAGCAGGTGGTGACCTGATCCGGACCTCCTCTCTGCTTGGCCGTCACGAGAGCACCGTGAAAGTGGCCTGTGGGAGAAGCTCACGGACACGCCCAAGACGGGTGGGGTGGGGGTGACGTGGCCGTAGCCGAAGACGCGGCAGTGATGGCCTTCTCTTGCGCCGTGCGGGGGTTCGTGTC